TATCGAAAACCAGCGACACAACCACATGTATTACCGTATGACAGTGCACATCCAAGGCATATAAAAAAGAACATCCCATATGCTGCTTATATTCGTGCCATGCGTATCTGCTCAGACATAGCAGATTGTTTAAGAGAATTTTCAGAGATACGATACAGATTGCTGCTCAATAAGTATCCATCAAGTTTTATTGATCAGCAATTTAACAGACTTTTGAATGACATTCACAGTCTGGATCTTACGCATTTCACAAATAATTATGAATGCATTCGAGTAAAATTACGTCAGACGGACTGGAAAAAGAGAGACCCCCTACTGAGACAGAAGAAAGCTATTAATTGGAACAGAGATGTCCTATTCCATTTGTCGTATACACCTATTCACCCACGAATAGTGCCCGTAATATACGATTCAATACTGCAAGGAGTAGAGAGGTCAAATTCTTGAGGCCAAGAATGTTCTCGACGATATGTCAAATATGTTTTTAGTGATAAGAAGAGCGGTATATAATGCCAAAGCTGGTCAACACCAAATCACAACTTTAATAGTAAAAAATTTTTCTCCTTCTACTCATTTATTCATATATTATTGATTATTGAATAAAAATTGAACATGTTTTTTGGACGTAATAAACATGATTCTCACGCACAGACGGTGCAGGATATCGATGATAAACACGAAGAGACGTTACATGTGGTTATCAATAATGAAGTAGGCAGACGCCTAGATGAGCATCGAAAACAACTCGATGGTCTTGCCCATCGGGTACACCCGACATGGCGAGTATTACATTAATCATGTGTATTCTGGTAGTCGCCCTCATATTGGCATCAATCAAACAACGGTGTCGCATCAACCGGGATACTGACCTGCTAATACATTTGCGTGCATGCCATCTTTAAACCGTTTCGCCACACGTTTCAACCAGCTCTGGCGGCAAATGTTTGCCGATACATCCAGTGAGCCTATTACGCCCATATTCGGTTTTCGCACAACACCTAACCTTGTCAGAACTTTTGTAAGAAAGAAACCATCCAAACATATACTTCAACCGCAGATTAGCCATACAATCACGTAGAGTAAAAAAAACGCCAACGAAAACGATGCATATTGTCTCTCCACCCACTAACTACCACCACCACCACCACTCACTGTCATCACCCTTCACATTCACCACGCATTATCGTATGTCAAATACCCACCTTTTACGCGCAAAACTACCAAAAAGTATTTTTATTGATTTTTGTTTAAACAATAGCTCAGAAACTACAACCCATTAACCTTTTTAGTTTCTTCAAAAAAGTTTTTAATCTAGCAAAAAGTTCATCGCAAAAAATGCTCCATTTTTGACTCTACCCTCATGCGCCTAATATGTTTCGTTTTCGCGCGAAACCCAAAACGTCTTTTTTCGATAATTTTCCCCCCAAAACTGGTTAAATACCCGTGCTGATGCATTTATACGACTTGAGAAGGTGCTAGAGTGACCTGAACCACTATACTGACAACCTCACTAACAACCTCACACAACGCACATGAATCCGCCAAAAAATCCTTTTAAAAAAACTTTTTGAAAAAGCTTTTAATTCAGCAAAAGATTCGCCTAAAAAAGTACTCCGTTTTTGCCTCTACTCTTATACTTCCAATATTTTTCGTTTTCACGCGAAATCAAAAATACCAAAAAAACTTTTTTCGATGACTTTTACCCAAAATTTTTTTTGATATTTTCGAGCTCTCTGAAGTGGAAAACCCCTAAAAAGCTTTTCGAAGCACCCTCGGATCTGCTTCAGAAGACGAAAAATCACATTTCTAGATTGTCCGAGAATTAGGACAAATCTCTTATTGCAGTTGTCGCCGCCTGAGGCTATTATTATAGCGGCTTCTTGATGGTTCATCATTTAGTCTAACGAAATCATCACACATTTTACCATACACATGCATTTTCTGTTATCATCCGTTCCACTCCAAAATTTTTTCTGTTCTCATCCGCTCCTGCCCAAACAGTCTTCATTGGTTATTTCTAACGATTAACCGACGTTTGAGCGCCCGACATTTGAGCGCCGACATTTGAGCAACCGACACTTGAGCGCCCCGATATTTGAGCGACCGACACTTGAGTAATAACGACCGTTCAGCACCAAGTGCTCACTCTCACCCTCATCCCCACTCACCCTCATCCCCACTCACCCTCATCCACCCTTACCCTACACAGCCTCACCATCAGATCTCCAAATAATTCAGTTCATAATCGGACGACAAAAAAATTGTTCTGATCATCGTTATCGAAGTAAATAATCATTCGACTTTCCTGATCGGCAAAAAGTCATATTGAAAAGTGTCTGATGTCGGAGTCGCTCAAATGTCGGTCGCTCAAATGTCGGGGTCGCTCAAATGGCGGTCGCTCAAATGTCGGGTGCTCAAATGTCGAGTGCTCAAATGTCGGGCGCTCAAATGTCGGCGCTCAAACGTCGGTTGACGATTTCTAACATGTATTTTTATTGATTATTTTTATTTTTATTGTTAACATGTCCTTTCTGCCTATATAACCTGCATGTTTTTTTCATATTCTTTTACATACGTACACTGAAGAAGATATTCGAAATGCATGTATACGTGTGAATTTTATGACATCATCATTTTCTATCTCCAATCTTTACTTGTAATTTTGTAATAAAATAAAGAAATGTTTTTGTTTGGTACAAAAAACAATTTGTTCTTCCTTTGTCAACAAAATGTATGAGTTTTCAATTACGTTTTTCGTATATTTCGAGGTTTTTAAATGCAGTATTTATATGTGCACATGATATCTTTCCTATTTGTACATAGACAGAACGGTAAAATATTAAAGAGACAACGATGACTCGAACAAGAGAAACATAAAAAAAAAGGAATATTTGCCAAATGTGAAAAGATAAGGTGGTACGCTAAATAATAATTGATTACATTTGCTTAATATCTACGCGAATGTTTTTTCCTCTTAGGCCTTTATCCAATTAGATGAAGATGATGAAACAAAAATCATCAGAAAAAATTGAAGAATGATTTCATTGTAAAGATATTCATTCTCAGAAGTATCTGTGCACAAGAATTAACAAGACATCATAGAAACAGAAACTATAGTGGCATTGCAATTGTAAAAAGACCGGTTTTTGCCTCTTTTCAGCTTAACCATACTCATAGAAACTATTGGTAGCTATATGCAGAGTTGTTTCAATAAATGTGAACACATCGGACGATAAAAAAGGAGAAACTGAACAACACGCAAATCAAAAATTTTGTGTTTACGATGCGAGCCTATTTTGAGCCTGATGGAGTTGAAGCATGGAGAAATAAGACGCGATTTTTGGCGATCGCTATTTTTCGTGCTCATACAAAAATCAATGACTCTCAAGTATTTTACTGTAGTTACTAATTCATTCGCGTTTTCCATCTAATATCAGTAAATGAGCCACGCTACTATTTTTACCACGAACGCAGACGAATGGCGTAAGCGAGACGGGACTACGCAAGACTATATTAGTCAGATCGTAAGCTATTATTAAGATAAGATTTTAAAAATTTTTCGAAAAAACAGTAAGAGTTAGATACCAGGCGGATAAGCAAAACAAAACGGCGAATAGGATTTGCACGGGAGACGCACCGCGACGCTGTGTCATGTCGTGATCGTAAGAGAAAAATGGGATTCCGCCGGCGGCAACAGCGACTTCTTAGTGCTCGCGGAACGCGATGCACGATTTTTCAAAAAATGCAGAAAAATTAGGGAAAAAAACTGAATAAAAGGTCTGTGAGTTTTCCGGCTTTTTGACCTGCTAAGTTAACAATCCCGGATGCAATAAAAAGCTTACTGAGCAAAACAAAAATAAGTTTCCGTTATTTCTCGCTTTTCAAGAAAGGAAATTTCGCGCTTTTTTTTCTGCTTTTCAGATTTATTAAGTTGGAAAACCTGGAAATACAAAGAAAATAACGCTTGTCTACTTAAAATAAAAAGAAGTACAAGCACAGCTGCTGAACAAATTTCAGTTCAGCTCCGTTGATTGATGCGATATGAAAACACTTTTATCATAGCAACTTGTAGGTTGTGGAATTAGCTTTCTCCTGCACATCGCTTGATAAAAGGTTCCATGAGATTTAGACTCAAATTGACGGAACTTAAAAAAACTGAAGTATATGGTGAAATCAGAGCAGGGGAGACGGGTTAAAATTTTCCTGTTAAATAATGTTTTTTTTTACTGCTATTACGCAGGAAAACAAGATTTAGCATATACTAATAATCAAGGAGAGATATCCGGAACAATTTTACATTTTAAGGTTAATCGAATGTTTTTAAATAGATACTATAGAAATACGAAAGAATAAGACAAAAATATTGTGTATGTCAGACATTTTTATCGAAAACGAAATATTTACCAATTTTCTTGATTTAACAACAAATAGAAATATTAACATTTTGGCTAATATCGATTCTTAAAATGTTATTATGCGTAGTACTGAACAGGGTTACCAGTTTTTCAATGTTTTTTAGTTTTTTTGTTTGCTTTTACTCCGTATTTCTTGTGACTATTTTCTATGTACCGTAAATGATTGAATGAAAGAGGTTGCCCAAAAATGAAAAACTGTAACCAATTCTAAAGATCGCGATGCTAATGCCTCGTATCCCAATGGGTCGAAGCGATTTGATATGGTCATAAATGGTCTCATTGATTGTTGTTCATTGCGTGCAATATGCGATAATGAAAAACGGAATTTTGGCTCTTGCCTTTGTGCAAGTCTTATTGGAGGGCGACGAGGAAAAGATGGTGGTCGATATGACGAAATGTCGGTGTAACTATTAAAAGTCGTTGTACCTCTTTGAAATCGATGGTTCAAGTACGGGACATTCAACAGTGGCCGACGTTCTGGATGCTGAACGGGTATTTGTCGTGTCGGTGTTTTTTGTCGTCGTCTCGATTTGGATTTACTTCTAGATGGTTGTTTTATCATCCACTCTGGTAGAGTAGGGATAGTCATTGGTGTTCGTTTGATGTTGCTCCTGGTGCTGAAGCAAATGATATATTAGTTGGAATATCTATACTAGATGTTGGAATCAACACCTCAGAAGTATCTGGCGATATCGGTGACCATACTGCTCTTCGTTTAGCTGGTTTGCGGGCCAGCAAAGGTTCTTGAGGTGATGAGGGTTGCGAATCATGAACGATAATATTGTCCAAAAGATGTTCTTCAACCTGTGATGAAATTTGTTGTTGTTCAGTTCCACTGCTTTGTGTCTCGTTCATCCGAGTATATCGAGCTTGTGGTGGGAACGACTCGGAAAAAACAAACAGTAAATTGATGACTTATTTGCTACTGACGAAGAAATTCGACGGTAAGAAACCGTAGATAAGGGTAATTTTCCTCTTGCTGTATTTCTTGATTACTCGAAAGCGTTTGATAAGGCCTGGCACGCCGGTTTACTTTACAAATTAAAGAAAAAGGGAGTGTCAGATGAATTACTGGAGTGGTTCTCGAGCTACTTAAGTAATCGACAATGGGTCACAGTTGTCAACTGTCAAACATCCGTTCTACTGCCGATAAATAGAGCAGTACCCCATGGGTCCATTCTTGAACCGTTGCTATTCCTTCTGTTTATTGATGACATTTCTTCACAAATACAATCTAAAATACGGTTATTTGCCGATGATACTTCTCTATACCACAGTGGTAATGATATTTTAAGTGCAACTAACATCATTAATTCTGACTTAGAAAGCATAAACAAATGGTCAAAATTTTGGCAAATTTTACCTCTAAACGCAAAAAAATGTGTAGGGATGTTATTTGGTCGAGTAGCAATTGTCTCTTCTCTTTTCCTTGATAGCTCTCCTCTTAGTTTTGTTGATCATCACAAACATCTCGGTATTTTTCTCACGAGTTCGTTAGACTGGTCAATTCACGTTCGTTAAGTATTAAAAAAATGCAATTACACTCTTTACCTTATGCGTAGACATAAACATATTTTGAGTACGTCCACTCTCGACCAGATATATAAATCATACATTCTGCCAGTAGTCACTTATGCTGAGTCAGCATAAGTGACTACTGGCAGCATTGCTGACATTGTTTACTCTCTTCTCAAACAAATTCATTCTAAAACAGTCTTCATTGATATAATTCCGTCCTATTTAAGGCCTATTTATGACTTGCAATATTTAACATCTCTGACTATTAGGGGAGCAATGCATTTATCATCAAGAGTAAAAGTGCTTAACCCTTTGGGGACGGGTGACGTTTTAAAACGTCATTAAAACGTCAAAAATCGGAATAAGTCGTGTTTTCCAAAACTTTCTTTTGAAGAAACGTCTCTCAAAACTAGATCATAATCAAATTTCA